AGCTATGTGATAACAGAGAGGGAAGGAGGCTGTCTCTGGAAGCACTGAGCTCCCTGTCGCAGGAAGTGTGGCGGAACCGTGTTCTGCAGATGCTATCATTACGAGAGATTTCCAAGGCAGAGTAGAGGAAGGAGATCGAGGCTGCCACCTCTGACGTGCCTGGCTGTGTGTGGGGCGTCAGAGTGCAGATCCAGCCCTGTTGCCACCCTGCTTAAAGCCCTTCCAGACCCTGATTGCCCCAACTAGGAATGGCTCAAGTGTCCTTCCCGGGGAGAACGGATGAGCTGTGATGCTTCCTAGGGCAGGGTACTGCTCAGCAACCAAACAGCTGGTACACACCATGTGGTGGTACACACCATGTGGCTGAACCTCAAAGACCTTTCGCTGAGCGAAAGGAAGCAACAGACAAGCTTACAGGGCATATGATTCCACTTGTGTGAAATTCTAGAGCGGCTGGCTGACCCGGGGTGGGAAGAGGTGGGGAGCAGCTGGGCTCTGCGGCCTCGGAGAAGAGGGCGGGTGGGGTGGACGGGCAGGACGGAGCTTTCTGGGGCAGTGGAAATGTTCTGCCTCTCAGCCAGGGCTTGGATCATGCAGGTGCAGCGTGAGAGCCACTGATAAGATCTATGAAGTGATAATGTTTATGCATTTCACCGTAGGTAACTGTTAGGCCAAAGAAAAACATTCAAAGATATGAAGCCGTCCCCCGGCTCCCTGTCCTGGCGGCGGCCTCCCTGGGGGCCTGAGCACCTGGGCTTATGTTTGGGGCACCCTGGCAGCTGGCCCCGGCCTGCTCAGTGCGCGCTCCGTGCGCCTCCGCTGCGGTGGCCCCGGCTGAGAAGTCCCGTACCCGGTCTTCTCCTACCGTCCCTGACCAGTCCTTCGGGGCCCAGGCCCGCTCCCTGGTGTCCCGCACAGCTCCCGCGCAGACCTGGATTCGGGCTCCGCGGAAAGCCCGCGCGGTCCCACGCACTGGGTCCGCCCCAACGCCCCGCGCGCCTGAGCCTCGCGGCCCTGTCCCCGCCACGCAGCCGCTGCTCCACGCTGCGCAAAGGGCGTGTTTGAGAGCTGAGCGAGTGCCCGGGAGAGCGTGAACCCCGGGCGCAGCGTTTCTTCCTGGGGGTGCAGGGAGAGCTGCGCTTCTCCCCGGCCTCCCGCTCCTCACGAGGGCCAGGTGGGCTCTCAGGTGCGTGCAGGGACCCGTCCTCAAGGCAGCCCCTGGGGGTCCCCACGCGAGCTTCTCGGGGGGCGGTGCTGGGCTGGGCCCGGAGCCCCGGACCGTGCCTCGCCCCCAGGCCCCGGTGGGCGGCCGCAGCTGGGGAGGCGGCCTGCGGGGGCTGCCTTAGCACGCGGCGGCTTCTGTCCAGCGGGCCGGCCGGCCTCCCTGCTTCCCACCCGACTTGATCCTTAACGTGTGCAGCGATGCTCCTAAGCACAGCGCCTACCCCTCACCTGGAGGAGAAGCCCAGTGCGCGCAGGCCGCGGCCTTACTCAGGGGAGTCCCCCGGCCCGGCGCCCAGTCCCTTGCCCGCCCCAGCCTCGCCGGCGGCCGGCGTCGGGCCCTTGCCTGCAGGCCCGGCTCCCGAGCCGCCGCGCCTCCCTCGCCTGCATCAGCTGCTCAGAGACGCCGCCCCGCTGACCGGACGGAAAGCTGCGAACCCTCCCGGCCCCCTTTCCTTACCGCCCCCTCGCCTTCCCGTTTGGGTTGTTTCTTTGCGGCCCTGAGGATTGAACCAGATGTATCACCAGCCTCTTCTGTTTTCTGTTTCGAGACAGGGTCTCACTAGGTCGCCATGTGCAGCTTAACGCAGTATCCGTCCTTGCTTCCTTCCTCCTTTCCTCCCTCCCTCCCTCCCTTCTTTCCTTCCTCTCCTTTCTTTTTTCTCTCTTTCTCTCTTTCTTTCCTTATTTCCAATACTAGGGACTCAGCTTCTCACTGAACTGTATCCTCAGCCCTTTAAAAAGAAAATTCTAGCCAGGCGTGGTGGTGTATGCCTGTAATCCCAGCACTCGGGAGGCTGAGGCAGGAGAATCTTTGTAGCCGGGGCTACTGCATAGTGAGACCCTGTCTCAAAAAGACAAAAAAAAAAAAAATTAAAAAAACAAGAAAAATCTTTTTTTTTTAAATTTTGAGATAGGGTCTCCCTGAGTTTCTCAAGTGGGAGTTAAACTTGCAATCCTCCTGCCTCGGCCTTCTTGCCTGTTGTACCTTTCTTGTTTACTGTCTGTTTTTCTTTCCCTGTATCCCATTGGATTTAAGCTCCACCAGGACAGTACTTTTCCTGTTTTGATCACTCATGTGTGAAGGTCCCAGAACAGCACCTGACAGAGCTGTGATGTGCTGAGAGGCCCCAGGCCTGCGGATGGCCTACCCCAGGGGTATGTCTAGCTCTATCCAGGGGCTCCCGAGGGCCGGGCTCCCACTGCTCCCATGGCTGTGCTCAGTGCCAGACGCCAGCCTGTCAGAGCAGAACAGCAGTGCAGAGCGCTCAGAACGAGTCTTCTTAGCACCTGTCAGCCCCAACCAACGGGCCTGCCCGGCTCTCCTAAGGGCGGAGACCCACCTTCTCCTCCTGCCTCTTCCACCTCCAGCCTCGAAATGCTTAGTGAAGCTTTGAGCTGGAGCAACCTCCTATTTATGGCAGGAAAAACTGAGGCCCTAGGAAGGGGGAGGGGTGGCAATCATGGACCGAGGTCAGGATTTGGAGCCAAGTTTTTCTTTCTCCTAGTCAGGCTTCGCCCACCGCAGCGGAGGGCACACACGTGAAACAGAAGAGCAGCAAGGAGAGCTGAGCCCGGCGTGGTATTCCAGGCTGGCCTGTGCCCCCACCCCAAGCTCACTGACCGACACCAAGCTGCGCAGTCCAGGTTCTGCCCACTCACCCCTGTCCACAATGAGGAGGGCAGCCAAGGCCAGGGTAACCACCCACGGGCGGACGGCCATGCTGATCCTGAACTGGCGCGGTCTCAGCTAGCTGGGGTCTGGGCCAGGAGGAAGGACGGAGACCTGTTTATAGTGCCCATCCCCGCCCTTCTCTTATCTGGGACCAGCTGGAGGCCGGAGTGTCACCCCAAGTTAATCTCTGCATCCTGGAGTTGGGAAAGGGATCTGCTCGAGCAGAGATGCTGAGCTGGTGGCTGTGGCTGTGGGCCTGGCGGCTTTCCAGAGGGAGCAAAAGTTTAGACGGCTTGCCAAGGTGATTCCAGTCTGTGAGCTGAAGCAAGGAGGGGAAAATTGAAGAAAAGAGAAAAACAGAGACCAAGGCAGGGGGAGGGGCTGAGGGAGGGAGGTAGAGGGAATGGTGGGCCAGAGAGAGCCGGAGAAAGCAGCACATAGCTGGTAAAAGGCAGAGAAACGGGCTGGAGACTCGGCTGCCTTTGCCGGTGCCGCCCCAGCCAACTCTGGGACTTTCGAAAAGCCGCCTTGCTTTTTTGTTTTGCTTTTTTGAGACAAGGTCTCACTATGTAGTCCAGGCTGGCCTCCAACTCACAACGATCCTTCCTGCCTCGGCCTCTTGAATGCTGGGGTTGCAGGCATGCACCACCACGCCTGGCTTCAGAAAAGTCACTTTTCTTAACTGGACCTCAGTTTACCTATAGACAACATGGATATGATAATTCTGGCTCTGCCCCCCTTCCAGGGATGCTGCGCAGATATCAGACGAGATGATATCTACTCCACTTTAGGGTAGATGATATCTACTGTACACGTAGGAAATGAGGTAAATGTAAACAGAACTGATTCTTTTTTACCTTTTATTTGTTTCACACAACTACACAACTGTGTGGGCCCAACTGCAAACAAAACAAAACCTTTTACTAGCATGCTTCATGGCCTACTCCTCCTGCCCCTCAGATAAAACAGACTGAAAGGAAGATGTCCTTTTGCTTTGCAGGTATTATATCTTTCTTTGTATTTCAAAGGGTTAAATATAAACACAGTTCTTTCTTTTTCTTTCTTTCTTTCTTTCTCTCTTTTGTATGTTTTTTGAGACTGGCTCTTGTTATGTATTTCAGGCTGGCCTTGGATTTATGGCAACCCTCTTGCATCAGCCTTCCAGGGCTGGGGTTACAAGTGTGTGCCAGCATGCCCAGCTACATGTGATTCTTCTCAAGAAAAAGCAACATCTAAAACTCCCCCATACCTATATAATATGTATGAATGATTATTCTCAGAGAATTTCTAATTTATACAAAGTATAACAAAATTGTATTTACTGACGCTTTTCTATAATTCACTTGGAGGAAAGATTCTAAGCTACAGATCTATAGATTAGATCCCCCTGGGGAGAATATTAAAAATACAAATTCTGGGCTTAACTCTGAAATATTTAAGTCAAAACAGCAGCGTTGGGCCGGAGGTGTAGCTCAGTGGCAGTGGGCTCGCCCAGCCTGAATGAGGCCCTATGTGTGATCTTCGGTGCAGAAAGATACAATCTGTTTTTTTTTTTTTTTTTTTGAAAGATTCATTTTGGAAGATTTCACGCCTACTGAGAAATTTTAAGAAGAGTACAATGAGTCAATGGGAAAACTCTTATTCAAAAGCAGCCCTTTGAGAGCATCAGGCAATCCCACGGTCGCTTCTGCACAGCAGTAGAAGTCCCAGATCTGCAGCCGAGCCCAGCGCGAGGTCCCCAGCAGTTCCTGGCTCGGCTTCAAAACCCTCTTGTCCCCCCCAGGTACCTGCGCCGCTCTATGGTTGTCCCTCAGGCAGGTGGCAGCTACCCTTCCGTTGCTGAGCCGGGCAGAGCAAATATTTAATGATTATTTCCTGTCCTAAAGCCAGAACACCATCTCCTAAAGGGAGGGGAACTTGGAGGGCAAACTAGGTTCAGTGTCCTATCTTCTGCTCCGGCCTTTTTACAGCAGGCCCGCCTGGAAGTTATTCATCCTCCACTGCTGGGGAGCTCACTACCTACCAGTTTCACTGCTGGGTGGTCTGGAGCAGTCGTGCCTCACCAAGCGATCTGTTGCCCTGAGACTCCTTGGGGTGGAGGGTCCGGTCTGTCTCCGGCCTCCCGCACCCACACGCAGCCCGGGCGAGCACCTGCAGGCCGACCAGGGCCAGGCCCTCGCCTGCCTCCTGACCCTGCACACGACGATTCTGGGCTTCTCTTCGTTTCCCGTCTGACTCCCTGGTGTGCTTCCACCGGCCCCCCAAGGAATGAAGTAGAGCAGAAGGGTTCCTCACGTCCCTCTTTTTGGACTGTAGGTCTCTATCAATGTGGCAGGAATGTTGCTGGCAAGGGACCAGAAAGCTCGAATCCTGCATCCTTCAAAATAAAACCAAGGACAGCAGCCTTAAATCAAGGGCAGCCCACGAAGTCCCGAACTCCTCACCATCCCATTCTGGAAAAACATAGTAACTCAGAGTAACAAACATCCTAATCCACCCTCCCATCAAAGTATGAACCTAACTCCTGCGTCCCACCGCTATTGGACAGCACCTGGTGTCAGCACATCTGAGTAAAGCTCATTCATTCATTCATTCATTTATTCATTCATTCATTCATTTATTCATTCATTCATTCATTTAAGAAGAGTTTAATGAAGCCGGGTGTGGTGGCACATGTCTCTAATACCAGCACTCAGCAGGCTGAGGCAGGAGGATTGCCGGGAGTTCAAGGCCAGCCTGAACTACATAGTGCAATCTTGTCTAAAGAAAAAGAGAGTTTAATGAGCCACCAAGTGCCGTGCACTGTGTTGAGGGCATCACTGTGACAATGAGCCAGACACAGTGTCTGCCCTCAAGCAGATGTGGTGACGTGCAGCGACACAAAATAGCAGCAAAACCACACCTGCCCCACTGGAGCAAGCCCAGGAGTGAGCACGCTCAGTGCTGCTTCCCACAGGGCAAACCTGACCAAGTCACCCTGGCCCCAAATGCCGGGATGGCGCCCACTGCCAACAGGGCAGCCCAGGCTCCTGAATCTGGCATTCAAGGCTCGTAGGTACCTAATTCCAGCCTATCTGTCCAGCTTTGCCTTTGCCCCACCCCACGCTGGACCTGCACGTTTTCAGTTCGGTTGAACCTGCTGCACCTTTGTCCTCTCAGCTGGCAGTGCTGGCTCTCCTTTCTCTATTGTCCCCCCAGTCCTAGAAGCACCAGATCAACCTGGGCATGGTGCTGTACTCCTGTAATCCTCAGGAGGCTGAGGCAGGAGGATTGCAAATTCAGAGCCAGCATGGGCAATCTAATAAGACTGTCAAAATAACAGTTTAAAAAGGGCCAGGGATGTAGGACTTAAGTTTAATCCTTAGTAGGCAAAAAAAAAAAAAAAAAAAATAAATTCCTTGAGCATCCCCTCTTCTGAAAACTCCCCTTACTGTCCTGAGCCGTCCTGAGCCGTCCTGAGCCGTCCTGAGCCTGACCATCATCACCTAGGCCAAATGGTCCGCCCGACCCCCGCCTCCTCTGTCAGAGCCCCTCCCCCCGCACTCTGATGGTGTTTGCTCACCCACTTCCACAGCTAAGCCATGAGCGCTCCGGGAATAAGGACACTGCTTCACTCATCTCTATTTCCCTGGTGCCCAGTCCCAAATCGGGCACACAGTAGCTGCTCAATAAATGTTAAGGGGCAGTTGCAAGGAAAGGAGAGGAAGAGGACAGTGGGCAGAGACCATGCCACCTCTGGGGGAAGGACTTGGAAGGTGAAGCAGTTTCTGTCTCCACTGATCCCCTTAAGCTCTTGGGATGCCCTGAGAGCCCAAGACAGAGCCTGACATACCAAGACCTTCTGGGGCCATAGCCTGGATCCGAGTGGCTGCTCCCTCTCAATCTGAACCAAACCCTCCTCTGTCCTCCTCACCCTCTGGCTTCCCCGGGACGCAGAAGTATACAGGAGGAGAGTTCTAGACCAGGAGTGAGGCAGTCTGGGTTTGCTCACTCATCCCACAAACATTTATTAAGCACCTATCATGCTCTATGCATGCTTTAGTCAACAGGGGTTCAGGGATTCAGCTATGAATAAGACAGAGACAGCCTGTGTCTCAAGGAGCTTCCATGCTGGGGCGGGTGACAGACAGCAAAGACCTACAACGATGAGCACATGGCATGTTATGTAGGGAAGAAACCCAGAGGTACAAGGAGAGCGTGACAGGGCAGGTGGGTGCCCTTTTTACAGTATCCTGTGACAGGAGGGAACAAGCGCCTCATAGGTCTGGGGGAAGAGCCACCAAGCGGAGAAGCTGCAAGCGCAAAGGGCCTGGGTGGGAACAAGCCTGGCATGTTCAAGATGCAAACACTAAGGAGTACGTTGTGTTCAGAGTGAAATGCAAGGAAAGTGAGTAGCAGGAGGTGACAGACGCCATACTCAGGTCTAAGCTCAGCACCAGCTCCTTGGGTGAACGTGGGTGCATCCCTTTTCTCCCACTGGAGAAACGGGCTTGCCAACACTTGCTGCCGCCAGCCTAAGCCCAGAGCCGCTGGCCGCCCTAGGGAAGAACGTGAGGTGCACCGCGTGCAGTCCCTGCGGTACCGAGGAAGGGCTCAAGTGCGGATTCCTGGAAGCAGAGCAAAGGCCGAGGCCTACGCGGGTTCCGAGCTCAAAACAGAAGACAGAGATGCCCTACAGCCAGGCTGCAGCAGGGAAGCTGGGCAGTTCCTCCAGCTCCTGGCCCGGTGAGAGTGAGGACTGGGGGGCATGAGTCTTGACTGGGCCAGTTCTCCCAGCCCCACCCAGTGGCCTCTGTGCCATCTGTTCAGTTTGGACGGGGCCCAGCTCCTGTGGGAGCACCGCCACTCCTTGATGACGACAACACCGGATTCATTGGTTCTGAATGACGCGTCCCGCTGCTGGGTGGAGGGTGCAATGGCGTTGCTTGGCTTAAGGTGGATTAGCTAAGCTCAGGTAGGCCTTGGGCCTGCCAGATGGCATGGCCAACATGCCAGCTTGCCCCTGCACCGCTTTCCCTCGCCCCTCGCCCGTATCCTGCTCCACCCTTCCCCCAGCATGAAATGTTCTCACCTGCCCATCTGCCTGCTGGGAGCAGCGCCGTGGGCATCCACTCCAGGGAGCCTGAGTGTGGGCCCAGCCCGCTGCGCCAGCCGGTCCTATCGTGGGCTCCCCAGCCGCTCCGCTCCATGCCCCAGGTCTGGAAGCCACTGCACCCACTCTGCCGCATCCGGAGTTGCAGGCCCCTGCATCGGGACAGCAGGGGGAAAGGGTACTGCTCTTATGGCGGTGTCTAAATGTCCCTCCAAAGCCTCATGCAGTCTTAAATGGGGCTTTATGAGAGGAGGCTGGATCTAGAGCGTGTGGTGCTGGGATTAAGGGTGTGTGTTACTAAATCCGTCCCCCATTGGTTTGGCACCGCCCCAATCCCAGTAGCCTGGATAGAGTATAAAAGGGGCAGAAATGGGGCTGGGGATTTAGCTCAGCGCCATAGCACCTGCCTGGCAAGCGCAAGGTCGTGAGTTCAATTCCCAGTACCGGAAAAAAACCAAAACCAAAAAAAAAAAGAGGGCAGAAAGATGCTGTTAAAGTCCCTTTTCCACCAGCATGAATGGCTGCCCCTCTGCCCTGTACCATCCTGCCTTGGAGCCACCTGAGTACGGACTGAAACCACCTCAGACTGTGAGCTAAATAAACCTTTGCTCCTTTAACTTTGGGTGTTGGGTGTTTTGTCTCAGCCATGAGAGAAGAGTAACTAAGACAGGCTCCTACCTCCGTGAGGGGGGGACTCATGTACTTGTCTGAGCCCTGACTCCAAGGAGGACTTGGGGACAAGAGTGGCTGGCGTCATGCTCCGTGGACACACCCACCCTTCCATGCCTTAGATGCTTCCTGAGCACCCACTGCGGGGCACCGTGCCAGACCTGAGTCTGCAGAGGTGAGCCAGACTGGAGCCCTGCGCTCCAGGAGCTTGCGGCTCAAAGGTGGTGGGAGGTAGTACTGACCCCTGAGCGGGCTGAAGCAGGGAGAGAGACGTTTTCTCCCCTCCGGTAACCTGCGGATCCCTTGCTTCTTGTGCTGCAAAGTCAACTTACAGGTGCCCGTGTACCCAGAGCTGCCCTACATCACAATGCTGCCACTGGGTAGACAACACACCATCATCCTGGTGACCGACGCGGAGCTGGGCATCGGCCCGAAGTCTCTCTCATCTCTACATTCAAGAAACCAGCTCTTGGGGGCTGGGGATTTAGCTCAGCGGCACAGCACCTGCCTAGCAAGTGCAAGGTTGTGAGTTCGATTCCCAGTACTGGAAAAAAACCAAAACCAAGAAAAGAGAAATCAGCTTTCAGCTGGGTGTGGCGATGCATACGTGTGATCCCACTGATCCCATCTACTCAGCTGGCTGAGGCAAGAGGACTCGGCAAGTTTGAGTCCAGCTGAGCGATTTAGTGAGATCTTGTCTCAAAAGCTAATAAACAAACAAAAACACCTTGGGGTGTGGATGAGTGGTAGAGTACTTGCCTAGCTCGCACAAGGCCCTGGGCTCAGCCTCCAGTACTGAAAACAAGAAAACAAGACAAGGAAATAAGACTTACTGGCTTCACCTCCTTACACGTATCCATCTCCTGCTCTGTATTTCCTGTCTGCCTCTGGGCTCCATTACTCACATTGCCCCCGCCTCCCCCTCTGTTCTGCCTTCAGAGGGATCTTTCTGAAATGCAAAACTGATCACATCATCTTCCTGCTTAATATTGTTTTATTACGATGGGTCAATTCAATTAAATTGTTCAATAAATATTGGCTCAAAGGCCGGGCGTGGTGGCACACGCCTGTAATCCCAGCACTTGGGATGCTGAGGCAGGAGGATCGTTGTGAGTTGGAGACCAGCCTAGGCAACAAAGTGAGCTCAAGGTCAGCCTGAACTGCATAGTGAGACCCTATCTCAAAAAGACCAAAAAAAAAAAAAAAAAAAAAAAAAATTGGCTCAAAGATGAACACCAGACTCCGTGGCCTGACCTGCAAGTTCCTCCACGGATGGGCCTTTGGCAGCCTCTCTAGCTCAGCATAGAGCACGTCACCCTTCATGTCACCGGACAGACCGTCCGCAGACTTGCACCTGCTCCCTCTGCCTGCTGTGTCTCCACATCACCACCCTCGCCCTCTGTTCCCGGGCCCTCAGCCCACCCCAGTCTGGGTCCCACCTCTGTCCCTGTAGGACCTGCAATGTCACGTGACCCTATCGTGCTTGTGGGACAATCTCCTACTTCCTCAGAGGGAGCCCAGGGGACGCCCCATTCACCGCACATCCCCAGGGCTCTGCGCAGCACCCAGCACGTCTCCAGTGGGTCTCTGGGTCCAGCCAGTGACTATCCTACGTTGTATCAACAGTGGTGGGAAAAGGGGTGCCACAGTGCTCTATTCCAAGGACCGCAGTTTCTTTTTGTCCATCCTACTGGGCATCCAAGAACCTAGCGTCTCTCCCAAGACCCACTAGGTGCGGCGTTTCATCTCCAAATGCTGCCCCCAAGCCATGTGGCAAATACAGGGCGCTGCGCAGACTGACAGCTTGCAGACTCTCCCAGGTCGCTGGGTTGCTGACTGCTACCTCCCCTCTGGCCTGCGCAGTCCTTCCAGAGAGAGGCAGGAGACCATGGTGCCAGCAGACCTGGGCCCTGAAGTCGCAGACCTTTCCCGTGTGCGCTTGCGCAGTTTCCCTTCTGAGCCTCAGCGCTGCCAGGTCGTTGTACTGAACGCGGCCTGCTCCTTGCCAAAGGGCACCATTCGCCGTGTTTGATGAGCACCACCGGGGGCAGGTAGGGTGCCGAGCAGCAAACGGCACAGACAAGGCACATCCCAAAGGGTTCCGAGACGTGCTGGGGAACGTGGTTGGTTTTTTTTTGTTTTGTTTTGTTTTTTTTTAACAATGGTCTTCAAACTTTATTCTTGTGTTTTGTTTTGGTAATGCTGGGGATCAAACCCAGAGCTTTGTGCATGCAAGGCAAGAGCTCTACCCCTGAGCCACATCCTCAGCATGCTGGGGAACGTTTGTCTCCTGTCTTCTCTCCTTTACTTCCCTTTGGGGGTTATAATCACGCTGTCTTGCCGTACACAGGTTCCCGCACACTGCTCCCTCACGCTGCAGGTGGACAGAACAAACAGAAAGAGAGAAGACTTCTTCCCTAAATCTCCTTGAGCCTATAAGAAACCCTGATTGGATGGGGTAAGTTACCTGCTCCTTTGTCAGACTAAGCAGCAGGGTCGGAGAATTGGGCTTCTGCGATTGGCCAGGCTGAGGTCACATGCGCCCTACTGTTGCCAAGGAGCAGGGTAAAATGATTAGCAGTTGTGTGGCCTAACAAAAGCCCCAAAGCTGAAGTTCTCGTGTTGGTCCTGGGAGTCCTGGGGAGGCGTGAGCCGCCCCGCTTGTGTCCAAGGCGCCCTGCTGCTAGACATCCTCTCATGCCACGTCACTTATTCCCAGGCAGAGCCTGGGCACATTCCAGAGACAGGGAGGGAGGAATCCAGTTCTCATGCTCCAGAGCTCTTGATAAATATTTATTGTACAGGTGTGTTGACAGATGAGGCACCACGGCTCGTCACCTCCGCCCTGGTCATCGTCCCCTATCCAGCCCGGAAGCCACCCAAAGACCCATGCCGCCCTCCCTCTGCGGCGGGGTGGCCCAAGCGATGTCTCCTGCCAGCTCTTCCTTCCCACCTGCAGGAGGGGCCCTGGAGCCAGGCAGCAGCTCCTCCTCTTGGCCTGCCCAGCAGCCATTGCTTCCTCCTCGCTGGGACCCTGAGGCCCTTTCCCGACCGAGGTGGGGGTGGCATGACGGGAAGAGTAGTCTCACGCTGGCTTTGCCACTCACTATACGAGACCCTGACCAAGTTCCTTAACCTCTCTGGGTGTTAGTTTCCTCTGTCACAAAAGGGGGTATCCACTGTGACTGGAGAGGGGTAGCGGGATAATTCTACAGTGCTGTAACCAAGCTTCTGGCACACTGAGTGCCTCATGGTGGCCGCTGTGGTTACCGTGCTCTGTGGACCTGGGGGGAGGGAGAGGACCTCTAAGGCGTCCTCTCCCCCGACTTCCCTCACACTGGCCACACGTCTACTCTCACGCCCTGCAACGACGCCACCCGCCAAGCCTGAGAAGCGGCTTCAGGTCAAAGAAGCCTCGTGCTTTCAGGGCATCAGAGAAGATTTCCGCCGACGGCTGAACCCTGGCACCCTCAGATACTTTCAAGGGTCCTCGGGTCCGCGGCTTCACTGCGACCTTGTGTCCTGCTCTTGCTTGATGCCCTGCTGACGAACCTCCCAGATCTAGAAGCAAAGACGAGTCTGCCGCCATCCCACTCACTCCTGGCTCCTTGAGCAGGTCTGGCACGGTGGAACAGGCACTTCGAGCCGTCCCAAGGGCCTTCTTGTCTCTGGAAGAGCCAGAAAAGCTGATGCTGAAGAGTCACTGGGATGATTGGGGGAAAACCACACGATTTGATTCCCTCGGCAGATCGGAAGAAATGATCATCATCTACTCAGAGCTTACGACCACAGACTCTAAGCACTGTGCTAATAGTGTCACGTGTACTACACAATGCTTACAAAAGCTTTATGAGGTAGGCCCTATGATTATATCCACTTAACGATGAGAAAATTAAGGGTCAGAAAGTTTAAACATGTGCAAGGCCTCTAAGATCGTAAGCAGCAGAGCTGGCATTCAAGCCAACCCTCGTCTGGCTTTAAATCTCAGGCCCTTACCAGGTCCCCCAACCACCGGAGATTCTGATTTCAAATGTGTTCATCCAGCAGCCCGTCCTGGGCCCAGCGGCTGAAGTGGCGTGGGGCAGAGGAGCTGTGTAATTTGGAGTGAATCTTCTAGAAGTTGCCAAAATACAGCGGTACTTCGGTTCATGAACTTAATTCTTTCCACGAGCCTGGTCGCAAACTGAATTGGACCAAAACCAAATCAAATTTCCCCGTAAGGTTAACACTGAACCTAACCACTGAATTAGATTAGTAACTCAGTTTGCAACCAGAATCATGGAAAGAATTAAATTCACAAACCGAGGCACCACCGCAACCGGTGTGGACCACGGGAGGAGGCCATCTCCTTGTAGCTGGGCCTGGTTATGATCTAGCAGTCTTTGAAAATATGGTCTGTCCAGAAGGCCGCCAATCCAGAGGGCCAAGCAAAAGATGGGAGGAACCGCTGCGCTGTCTGCTAGGTTACGAATGCGGGGCCCTGCGAGCCCTGCCTGACATCTGCACAGACGCCACCGTTGGCAGCGCTTCGGGCCAGGCTGTTTAGACACTGAGGTCCCAAAATATAGCCCCACTCCAGCCGCTTGGACCAAAACTGACATAGCACTTACGTTGTTCTAGGCACAATTATAACTCTTTTCTTATGAGAAACCCATGAAATAGGTACAATTGTCCCAATTTTACAGATGAGGCGATTAAGGCACTAAGTAGTGGAGAATTTTGACTGCAGTCACGCATCCGAGATTGGAAGTACTTAGCCCCTCCAGAGGGCAGAGCATTGGCAACCTTGATGTTCGCCAAGGCAGGGAGGTGGTGGCGGTGGAGGTGGAGGTGGTGATGTGTGAGTTGCTTCTAATGCGCTGTGCTTTGGAGAATAGACAGCTGAGACCTCAGCGGCATGCTGCCTCCTCCTCAGCGCTTCCTCTGCCTGGCCCTGAAGGTCGCCCCTCTCCTGCCGGGCTCCCTGTCTGTAAGTGTGGGCGAAGACAGAGAGTTAGATCATGAAGATGAAGCTGACCCGTAGTACAGCATCCCACGTGGGCCTGGGGCCACGACAGCCTGGCCAGGCCTCCCCTGGACTTGTCATCAGACATTAATTCACTTTTACTCCAGGACCCTCATAGCTTCTCGGAGGGTCAGGGAGCAACTTCTGAGAAATTGAGACAGAGAACAAGCACAAGGACCCTCGCATTCGTATCTCTGGCGTGCCGGGGGCCTCACCAACAGTACCAAAAGTACCACGTTTGTCTTCTGACCTCTCAGTTTTCTCAGCTTGAGCAACACTGCCTCTGAGGGAATGCGCATGCTACAAACTTTTTCTTTGTTTGGTTTTTTGAGACAGGCTATCTCTATGGAGCCCAGGCTGGCCTTGAACTCAGTGATCCTCTTGTCTCAGCCTACCAAGTAATGGGATTACAGGTGTGTGCCAC